CACGACCAGTCACAGGGCCAGTCACACGACCAGTCACAGGGCCAGTCACAGGGCCAGTCACAGGGCCAGTCACAGGGCCAGTCACACGACCAGTCACAGGGCCAGTCACACGACCAGTCACAGGGCCAGTCACAGGGCCAGTCACAGGGCCAGTCACAGGGCCAGTCACAGGGCCAGTCACATGGCCAGTCACCACACAGCCAGTCACACGGCCAATCACAGGGCCAGTCACAGGGCCAGTCACACGACCAGTCACAGGGCCAGTCACAATGCCAGTCACATGGCCAGTCACACGACCAGTCACCACACAGCCAGTCACATGGCCAGTCACCACACAGCCAGTCACACGGCCAGTCACACGGCCAACCACACAGCCAGTTGTTACACAGCCAACCACACAGCCAGTTACACAGCCAACCACACAGCCAGTTACACGGCCAGTCACACGGCCAGTCACCACACAGCCAGTCACATGGCCAGTCACACGACCAGTCATAGGGCCAGTCACACGGCCAGTCACATGGCCAGTCACACAGCCAACCACACAGCCAGTCACACGGCCAGTCACCACACAGCCAGTCACAGGGCCAGTCACACGACCAGTCACCACACAGCCAGTCACCACAGCCAGTCACCACACAACTGGCCACCCCATGGCCTGTCACCACACAGCCGGCCACCCCATGGCCTGTCACCACACAGCCGGCCACCCTGGTCACCACACAGCCGGCCACCCCGGTTACCACACAGCCGGCCACCCCATGGCCTGTCACCACACAGCTGGCCACCCCGGTTACCACACAGCCGGCCACCCCGGTCACCACACAGCCGGCCACCCCGGTCACCACACAGCTGGCCACCCCCGCCTCCACCTCCCCTGGGTCTCTGTAGCTCAACACAGAGACTATGGGGCTTTGAGCATTTGCGTGACACTCAGAAGACCCTTGATGCCAGATATTTACAGCTCAGCAGGGGTGGGATCTGGAAGGCAATCTAGAAGGGCCCGGAAACAAGAGTGTGGCGAGTCTGGACAGTGGGTGGTGGCCAGGCTGGGCTCAGAGATGGTTAGGAGGCCAGGCTGGTCAGGAGATCAGCCAGGCCACTGCACAGTACAGATGCCACCGACGAGGCCTTCCAGGAGGCCCGGCAGGCTGCGTGGACGGCACTGTCCTCTGCGGGAAGACTGCCATCATGAGACAGGTGGGCAGCCAGAAGGCAGGATGTCCTGTAGGAGGAGGATCCTGGACTAGGCATGACAGAGAAGGGAAAGCAGTATCCGTGGAAGAGAACCCGGGACCGATGAGCTGGGGTCGGGGCGGTGTGCCCGGGCGCTGCTGGTCCACGCAGGACAGGGTGGAGTTAAATGAGGTGCACGCTTCCGTCTGTCTGTGTCCAGGACCACAAATCCCATTCAGGGATTTCTCAGATTCATCTACCTGTGGTCACTGTGGTTTGAGACTATTAAATGGAAAATTCCACAAGTAATTTGCAAGTCTTAGGATGCCTCCCCTTCTGTGTAGCTGACACAACCCCACGCTGTCCTTTTTAAAGTGCTCCCAGGGTGGACAGTGTGTCCACGTGGTCTTCTGTCCTCCAGGATGGACTCTCCTGTGTCCAGTGTGTCCACATGGTCTTCTGTCCTCCAGGATGGACACCTCATGTCCAGTGTGTCCACATGGTCTTCTGTCCTCCAGGATGGACACTCCATGTTCAGTGTGTCCACATGGTCTTCTGTCCTCCAGGATGGACTCTCCTGTGTCCAGTGTGTCCACATGGTCTTCTGTCCTCCAGGATGGACTCTATGGTGTCCAGTGTGTCCACATGGTCTTCTGTCCTCCAGGATGGACACCTCATGTCCAGTGTGTCCACATGGTCTTCTGTCCCCTAGGATGGACTCTATGGTGTCCAGTGTGTCCACATGGTCTTCTGTCCTCCAGGATGGACACCTCATGTCCAGTGTGTCCACATGGTCTTCTGTCCCCTAGGATGGACTCTACGGTGTCCAGTGTGTCCACATGGTCTTCTGTCCTCCAGGATGGACACCTCATGTCCAGTGTGTCCATGTGGTCTTCTGTCCTCCAGGATGGACTCTCCATGTCCAGTGTGTCCACATGGTCTTCTGTCCCCTAGGATGGACTCTCCTGTGTCCAGTGTGTCCATGTGGTCTTCTGTCCCCTAGGATGGACTCTCCATGTCCAGTGTGTCCATGTGGTCTTCTGTCCTCTAGGATGGACTCTCCATGTCCAGTGTGTCCATGTGGTCTTCTGTCCTCCAGGATGGACACTCCATGTCCAGTGTGTCCACATGGTCTTCTGTCCCCCAGGATGAACTCACCCCATGTCCAGTGTGTCCATGTGGTCTTCTGTCCTCCAGGATGGACACTCCATGTCCAGTGTGTCCACGTGGTCTTCTGTCCTCCAGGATGGACTCTCCTGTGTCCAGTGTGTCCACATGGTCTTCTGTCCCCCAGGATGAACTCACCCCATGTCCAGTGTGTCCATGTGGACTCAGCCCATGTCCACGTGTATGTCCACGTGTTTTCCCTCTCCTGTACTAGTAACCAACCTCATGTGCCTCGGGAGCCTTGAGTCCCGGTTCCTGTTCGCTCTACCCTCTCTCCGTCTCTACTCACTTCTGCAGCTCAGGTATCCAGTCCTGCTGCTACAGGTCGCAGAGAGAAACAGCTCCATTCCGACCTCTTCCTCAGAGTCAGGGGAAGTGTCTGAGGGACGGGAGGCGCAGGGCCTGGCAGGAACACCGGAGCAGAAGCGGCTCCGGGAGCTCGGGTGCCTCTGCTCATCTCTGGGCCGTGCTTTTTCGTCCATGCTCATAAAACTTACACATTTTAATTAAACTTTGAATTTTAACCCGTTGCAATGATTTAATATCCTTTCCAGAAAGCAGTTAGTTCATTATTTTAGAAATAATCATCTCCAAAGGGCAGGCTGTGTGTCTGTGCTGAGCAGCGCGCGCACACCCTGCCCCGGCTGGCCACGGCCACGGCCACGGCCCTGTCCTGGAGCATGGCGTCCACACGGAGGCAGGAGTGTGCTTCGTGGGACCGAGCCGGGCTCTCAGCAGGATGCCCCGGCTCTGTGTGGCATGGGCCCTGCATCCTTCCTCACTATGGGCTTGGAGACACCATGGCTCTGGGGCTGTCAGCTGGCCGGAGCCTCACTCAGCCTCCTTACCTAGAGAACGCATCTGTGGAGACCAGGCGCCCCATGGATGCCTCCTCGAGAGATCAGGGTGCTGCCCTGCACGGTGCACACCGAGGTGCGGACGGCCACGTGGAGTGGGGGCCCGAGAGTCGGAGTCCCCCAGATCCACACGCACAAACCCGGGACCTGTCCTCGCCAAGTCGCCAACAGAGACGGAGTGCCCGTGCGTGCCCGCGTCCCTCACCACGGTGCCCAACGAAACCAAAGACCGGGGGACGTGCTGACTTTACCAGCAGTAACCACCGCAAGGGGGATGTGATGGGCTAAAACATCCTTCCTTCCTGCGCTTACCTGACTGAGCTCCACAAAGGCCTGGCCTTCTCATTCAGCAGTCCCATGCGTCCTGGCTAATTTCATCAGAACCCAAAGTGTGCCAGCAGCAGACTTCCGGTTCCTAACCACGAGCTCACGGACTCAGATTTCCAAACGTACTTTCCATTGTGCGAAATCTGCACTTTGTTTACTTTCTGACTCTGTGTGTGCTGGTTTGATGACACATTGATGTCAAAGCATCCATTCAATGGTATCCACTGATAGCAAGGGTCGATCTAAATGCGGTAAACTTGTTAGAGCAGAGAGGCTCACTTTTAATGCTACAGATGATTCATCACATACTTAATGTAGTTTGCAGAGTGGTCCTGAATTTTTACTTCTATAGTATTTTAAGTAGTGCCTTCCTGCAACTAAGAAACTTAGGATTTTCAGTGGAACCAAGTGCTTGTTTCAGAGATCCCAATGCCAGGATATAAAGTGCCCAGGAGCAAGCCTGGGTCTTTGCAGCAGGACCCACCCTTCAGGAAATACTTCTCTCCTTCACATGTGGACTTTTTAACGCATCGACCACTTACGTCTCTTTCTGGGCATGCACTGTGTGCCTGGGGAACAGCCCTTACCTTCATCTCGATCTGTTTGGTATCTGGATTCTGAAACAGCAGCTTTACTCGGGCTTTTCCGTCATCAGAGGACCCCTTGAGCTGGGAGAACTTGAATCTCCAGAGTACATTCTGCAAATGATTGACGTTCATTAGTGATTTATGAGCAAGAGCTCATTTGCTTAATTAACATCTGCTAACAAAGTGAGCTGCCTGTTCAGATCAACGCTGCCCTTTGTCTACCTGGAGGCTGATCAGAGTCCGGTCTGCTGCTCTCCCACGCTGCCCTCTGACCCTCAAGCAGGCCGCTCCTCCCTCCCCCTGCCCAGCCACAGGTACCGCAGGTCCCAGTGACCTCATCCCACTGGGGCCTCTTGGGTTTCCCAAACTCAGACGGAAGACTTCCTGAGTCTTGTTCCTTTTTCTATCTGGAGAAATGTAACTACTACCACCTCCTCCCATTTCCTTTCTCCCCTAACTCCTCCCCCTCCCCCTCCCCTCCCCTTCCTCCTCTCCCCTCCCCCCTCCCCCTCCCCTCCTCCTGCTCCTCAGGAACGGCCTGCAGGAGACACAGGCTGGACTGCACACAGAGCGGACGCTCTGCCTGGCCACGGTCTGCCCATGAGGCTGTCTGCCATCTCCAAGAACCAACATGAAAGGCGTGGGCACTGCTGCCTGGGCGTCCTGCGGTGAGAATTACTCAGAGTTCATGGAGACCCACTCACAGATGGATCGTGATCGACACAGTCCTGACACAAGACAAGGAAAGGAGCAGCAGGCCATGGGCTGGGAGAGCGTTTCCACAGGATGGAAGGGTACGTCATCTGTGGGGCAAATTCTATCTTCCCACAAACATGTCAATAACAAATTACAAATACTTTTTAGGGCAAAAGCTAAGCGGAAATTCTATCAAAATCATTTGTTTGAATAATGAATATATTTTTCTCAATGGAGGGCTAGCATGGAGACACAGAGTTTCAGAGCTCACCTGTCACCTGACATCCGTGTTCTATGTCCAACACCGGCTCACCTGTCACCTGACATCCGTGTTCTATGTCCAACACCGGCTCACCTGTCACCTGACATCCATGTACTATGTCCAACACCGGCTCACCTGTCACCTGACATCCATGTACTATGTCCAACTCCAGCTCACCTGTCACCTGACATCCCGTGTTCTATGTCCAACACCGGCTCACCTGTCACATGTAGCTGCCTCATTACTCATGTTCAAGATGAGCTCTGGGCTTTCTACACTGAAGTTAGGTGATGGACAGAGTCTTCTAAGTGCACAAGTCATCACAGCTGATGGAAAGGGGAAAAACTTTGGGGTGCAAACACCCAGCCTTCTGATCACCTCTGAGCTGCAGGGGCACAACAGGCTGGGTACAGAGGGAAAATCCTTTAGAGGATTCCGGAGGCCGCCAGCAGCTCTGATCACAGGCCTACGTGCTTTGATGTTGGATATGAACATGAAATCATTCCTTAATATTAGACTGTGTGCAAATACATCTTGCTGTTGTGAAGCCTACGTATGTCCTACCAGCAAACGCCCTAGGTTCCCCTGGGAATCACAAGTACAGAGCCCCGTGAGCGCTGGGTGCTGGCCTTCTGTGGAGGCTGTGCCGCGTCAGCACGTTGGATCGACATCTCTGTGACTGGTGTCCTGGCCCTCCCGTGCTCTACAGCATGGCTGGCCGCGGAGGCAGGAGCCGAATGTCTCCAGAGATCTGCACGTGCCCCACAGCAGAAGGATGCGAGGCGGCCAGGACGAACCTCCCCCAGAAGGGGGCTGCCCCCCAGACGTCAGTACCCGCAGCCACAGGGACCTGCAGGAGACAGAGCCCAGTGCAGCAGCTGGGAGTGCTGACGAGGGCTGACGTGGGGTCTGAGGCCAGGCTTGGTTTAAACAGGGACACGGGAGCACGGGCTGAGTGTGCAGAGCGTGCTCGGGACGTGTTGCAGGGAGAGCCGTGTGCAAATGGTCCTGGTGAAACTCGTGGGCACACCCTGCCTACACTGAGTCCAGCACGGGGCCCCCAGACAGACGGAAATGGAGAAACTTGTGCTAAACGCTCTGGAATCTGAAGCCTGCCACACCAGCACAGACAGGAATCCCCAGGCAGAGCAGAGTCCCAGACGGGAGACTCAGCAGAGACTCAGAGAGCGCAGCCTGGCAGCCAGAACAAAGCCACCTCCCGTCACCCAGCGTCCTGACGTCACCGGCTCTGTCATCTGATGTCACCAGCTGCCATCTGCCGTCACCAGCTCTGCCATCTGACGTCACCAGCTCTGTCATCTGTCACCGGCTCTGTCATCTGATGTCACCAGCTCTGCCATCTGACGTCACCAGCTCTGCCATGTGATGTCACCAGCTCTGCCATGTGATGTCACCGGCTCTGTCATCTGATGTCACTGGCTCTGTCATCTGACGTCACCAGCTCTGCCATCTGATGTCACCGGCTCTGTCATCTGACATCACCAGCTCTGTCATCTGATGTCACCGGCTCTGTCATCTGACGTCACCAGCTGCCATCTGATGTCACCAGCTCTGCCATCTGTCACCAGCTCTGCCATCTGATGTCACCAGCTGCCATCTGATGTCACCAGCTGCCATCTGATGTCACCGGCTCTGCCATCTGATGTCACCGGCTCTGTCATCTGATGTCACCGGCTCTGTCATCTGACGTCACCGGCTCTGCCATCTGATGTCACCAGCTCTGCCATCTGATGTCACCAGCTGCCATCTGATGTCACCAGCTCTGCCATCTGTCACCAGCTCTGCCATCTGACGTCACCAGCTCTGCCATGTGATGTCACCAGCTCTGCCATGTGATGTCACCAGCTTCCATGTGATGTCACCGGCTCTGCCATCTGATGTCACCGGCTCTGCCATGTGATGTCACCAGCTCTGCCATCTGATGTCACCAGCTCTGCCATCTGATGTCACCAGCTCTGCCATCTGTCACCAGCTCTGCCATGTGATGTCACCAGCTCTGCCATCTGATGTCACCGGCTCTACCATCTGATGTCACCGGCTCTGCCATCTTACGTCACCGGCTCTGCCATCTGACGTCACCAGCTCTGCCATGTGATGTCACCAGCTCTGCCATCTGATGTCACCAGCTCTGCCATCTGATGTCACCAGCTCTGCCATGTGATGTCACCGGCTCTGCCATCTGATGCCACCAGCTCTGCCATCTGACGTCACCAGCTCTGTCTTGAGGTCACTCCCCGTGTCACCTGCTGGGCCTGTATCCAGGCCTCATCCTGCTCAGGCCACCTGCAGGAAGCACTGCCTCCCATGACCAGGAGCTCCCTCGGGTCTGGACCCAGGGTCCTGCCTAGGCGGAACTTCTCATGAGAGTATTTCCATCATTCGACTGAACAGCTACTTCCTTACTCATTGTCAGTCGCATACACAGCTGACTGAGAAGCACAGTGGCGGATCATCAGTGTTATCTTTGGAAAACAATTAGTGATGCTGATGACAATTCCCCGTAGGCGCCATTAGCCAGGAAAGGCTGAAATCAAGCACAACTTGGGTGTGTATTCTATCAGCTCTCAGCAATACAGAGTTACTGTTACCCCAAACACGTAGGTTTCAACAGGCAAAGTTCACTTTTCCTTCCCATGTTTCCATGAGTGCCGTGTCCCTCCTCGCCCTGCTGACCCTGGTGATGTCACTCGTGCTCCAAACTCCCCGTACTGGGGTCCCCGAGGGGGCTCTGGGCTGCCAGCATCACGGGGCCCGGGCCATCGCGGGAAGACAGGCCACAACATAGGTGCAAGCCCATCGGCCCTGCTAGCGGCTGCCCGAGTCATGTGCGGCGTCGCTGTGGCCTGCAGGGGGGTTGACTCTGGCTCGTTCGGTGGCTGTGTGCACGCCTGACGGCCTCTTACCTTAGACTCACTGTCAAAGCAGGTGAAGCCCACAGCGAAATCCACCACGAAGCACAGCGTCTCCCCTTGCCAGCTGCACGCGTAGGTTTTTGACTAGAAAAGAAATGAAGCTTGAGTAAGCACCTTTCCTACTTGCATAGTAACCCTCCTGCAGTCAGAGGTGGCGCTAACCTTATGGACAGGTTTTCAGCAGGCTTTGTTCTTTCGTCTTTAGACAGACAAAAGACATCGTTGCAGGCATTCCCTAAACCACAAGCCAACCAATATCATAGTTGGGGTGATGTTGATATTCCACGCCTAGGTGGCGGGGAAAACGCCTGATGACGGAGCTTCCGCTCGCCAGCCCAGCACGCTGCTGAGTGATACACCTCCTCCTCCTTCACACACTGCTGAGTGATACACCTCCTCCTCCTTTGCACGCTGCTGAGTGATACACCTCCTCCTCCTTCACACGCTGCTGAGTGATACACCTCCTCCTCCTTCACACGCTGCTGAGTGATACACCTCCTCCTCCTTTGCACACTGCTGAGTGATACACCTCCTCCTCCTTCACACGCTGCTGAGTGATACACCTCCTTCTTTACACACTGCTGAGTGATACACCTCCTCCTCCTTCACACGCTGCTGAGTGATACACCTCCTCCTCCTTCACACGCTGCTGAGTGATACACCTCCTCCTCCTTCACACGCTGCTGAGTGATACACCTCCTCCTCCTTTGCACACTGCTGAGTGATACACCTCCTCCTCCTTCACACGCTGCTGAGTGATACACCTCCTTCTTTACACACTGCTGAGTGATACACCTCCTCCTCCTTCACACACTGCTGAGTGATACACCTCCTCCTCCTTCGCACAATGCTGAGTGATACACCTCCTCCTCCATCGCACACTGCTGACTGATACACCTCCTCCTCCTTCACACGCTGCTGAGTGATACACCTCCTCCTCTTTCACACACTGCTGGGTGATACACCTCCTCCTTTGCACACTGCTGGGTGATACACCACCTCCTCCTTCGCACACTGCTGTGATACACCTCCTTCTTTGCACACTGATGAGTGATACACCTCCTTCTTTGCACACTGCTGAGTGATACACCTCCTTTGCACACTGCTGAGTGATACACCTCCTTCTTTGCACACTGCTGAGTGATACACTTTCTTCTTTGCACACTGCTGAGTGATACACCTCCTTCTTTGCACACTGCTGAGTGATACACCTCCTTCTTTGCACACTGCTGAGTGATCCTCCTTCTTTGCACACTGCTGAGTGATACACCTCCTTCTCCTTTGCACACTGCTGAGTGATACACCTCCTTCTCCTTCGCACACTGCTGTGATTCACCTCCTTCTCCTTTGCACTCTGCTGAGTGATACACCTCCTCCTCCTTTGCACACTGCTGAGTGATACACCTCCTCCTTCGCACACTGCTGAGTGATACACCTCCTTCTTTGCACACTGCTGAGTGATACACCTCCTTCTTTGCACACTGCTGTGATACACTTCCTTCTTTGCACACTGCTGTGATACACCTCCTCCTTTGCACACTGCTGAGTGATACACTTTCTTCTTTGCACACTGCTGAGTGATACACCTCCTTTTCACACTGCTGAGTGATATACCTCCTTCTCCTTTTCACACTGCTGAGTGATACACTTTCTTTGCACACTGCTGAGTGATACACCTCCTTCTTTGCACACTGCTGAGTGATACACCGCCTTCTCCTTTGCACACTGCTGTGATACACTTCCTTCTTTGCACACTTCTGTGAGTTGGGCAGGGCTCTTGCTCCTGGCACAGAGGTCTGTTCCAGACCCAGGGGTGGTGGTTCTGGGCAGCTCTGCAGAGCTTTGCAGACAACACTTAAACAGCTGGAAAACAGTGGCAGTAACAATGCCTAAAACCAGACAGTCGGGCCTCCAGCCGAGCACAGAGCATCGTCCGGGGCCTGGCCCCTGTCTTACGGGAGAGCTTTCTGCTCAGAGTGGAGGCTGAGGCCTTCCTCTGTGAGGGGAACTGGGGAATATCTCCCACCAGGGCAGAGGGCTGGCCTGACCTGGGACCACAGACAAGGCTGGGGCTGGGTTCTGTCTGTCTGTCTGTCTTGCCAGTGCACCCTGGGAAGGCACAGGGCGCCGCCTCACCCCTGCACAGCCTCCTCATCGTGGCCGAGTGCCCTCTGGACAGCGCCCTGAGCCTGACTCACCTCTTCTTGACCCACTGCGGTTCTGTCCTGACAGCTGAGCAAATGCTCTAGATGCCCGGTGACACAGGTCCACACACATTCTCAGAGGGGCAGCGCGCAGGCCCGCGAAGAACCCTCCTCTCACGGCCTTTGTGGTGCAGCGGCTGTAAGCGACGAGGTAAGGGACCGCCCGGCCTTCGGGGTGGTCTGGCTCTCGGCCATCCATCGTGAGGCCTGTGGAATTGTGGGCTGAGCGGGTGGTGACTCGCACCGCGAATCCGACGCCAGCATGGTGCCCGGCCTCCGGAGGGCAGCAGAGAGCCGCGCAGACGCCAGGGCAGAGGAGGGGCGGAGCCGAGGTGGTCCCCAGGCACAGAGCATCTCAGGGTCGTGTGCTGCGGAGCTGGGCGGAATGAAAACCCCACACTGCAGCGGTGCTGCGCAGTGCCACACGGTCGGAAGAGGGCCGTGTGCTTCCAGGCACCTGTTTCCTGTTCATCTTACGGCTTGGGAAGACCTGACGGACACCCTCGGTGGGGTCTGACACACAGCCCGCCACGCATCTCTCAAGATACCTGTGTAGACGGCTCAATTTTTACAAAAAGTAGTGATTCAAACATCCTCAAGGAGACAAGATATCAGGGCTTCAAGAATGACTTACTGGGTGACATAGATTTGCTGAAAAAAAATCAAGCCTAACATTTGCAGGACAAATACCTGCTGTCCCCTCCCCCTCTCCCCCCAGGGCTTGTGACTCTACCTCAGCAAGTCCCACTGTGGCCCACAGGACAGCAGTCCACTGCCCACCCACAAGACAACGGTCCACTGCCCACCCACAAGACAACGGTCCACTGCCCACCCACAAGACAACGGTCCACTGCCCACCCATAAGACAACGGTCCACTGTGACCCACAAGACAACGGTCCACTGCCCACCCACAAGACAATGGTCCACTGT